ATATATATATATATTCTTATTCATACATACCACACAATTTTTAAGAACTTATACATCTAAAAGCTAAACTTCTATATTTATATTTATATTTATAATATTTTATTATTTAAATTTATGCATATTTAATATTCATAAAAAGATTCAGTTTACTTTTAAAAATCATAAAAAAAAGAATTTTTTACAAATAATCACTCAAAACATTTCACTTAAATTTTAAATATAATATTTTAGCAATTCTAAATAATAAATTTAACATTTTAATATTTTAAAATTTTCACTCAAAATCTTCAATAATGAATAAGATGATTAAATGATATATTAAAAATTTAAGGGTTTAAATATTAAAAAAAACATTGAATCGGTCCAAGCTGTAGAAAATATGCAGGCACCTTGGCGGCAACACAATGGCGACACCCTTACTCCATCTCCAGTTTCCATCTCTCTCTACTTCGCCCTTCTCTTCTCCCTCTCGTTAAATCCTTCGATCCCTTCTCCTTCTCCAAAACTGAATCCTTTCTCCGTTTCTCATTCAAAGGCGTCACCTTTCTTCTCACCACTGTCCGCCATGGGTTCCCTCTCCGATCCCTTTCCTCCTCTTCTCTACCCTGCAGCCCGCCGCGACGACTCCATTATCGACTACTACCACGGCGTCCTCATCCCCGACCCTTATCGATGGTGAGCTCTCACTCCATTGATCGTCTTCTTTTTCTTCTTCTTCCTCCTCTGTTTCGTCTTTCATAAAAGTTGGATCTTTTATCCCTCTTTAATGGCGGATGAAGGCTGGAAGACCTCGAATCGCCGGAGACGAAGGCGTTCATGGAAGCGCAGGGGGCGGTTACTGATTCGGTGTTGACTGAGTGCGGCGAATGGGAGAAGCTGCATTGTTCCATCACTGCTCTGTTTGATCATGAGAGGTATGAGGCGCCATTTAAGCGGGGAGAGAAGTACTTCTACTTTCATAACAGCGGTCTTCAGCCACAGAGCGTTCTGTTCGTCCAGGTACTTCGTTTCTCTTCTAATTTCCAGCAGATGGAAGATGAAATGATCGAAACGGATTTGGTTGCAGAATAGCTTGGATTCGGAGCCGGAGGTATTGCTGGATCCCAACGGGCTTAGTGAGGATGGGACTGTGGCTCTGTGCGTTGCAGCGGTTAGTAGAGATGGTGAGCATCTGGCTTATGGGATTAGTTCGAATGGGAGCGATTGGGTTACGATCAAAGTAATGATTGATGGCAGGAAGACAGAATCAGTTTCGATTTCATGGGTAAAAGTTTTTATTTTTTATTTTTAAGAGTTTTCTCTTCTTCTTGTTCTTCTATCTGCTTGTCTTTCTGTTTTAGCTGTTTCTACTTTTTGTGTTTATCTATTTCATGTAATTTGTTGTGAAAAAGATAATGTTGAATTTTGATTTGTTCATGAATCACACCGCAAGTGTTTGAGCCCTGTCACTTTAAAGTCATCTAACTCTACAATTTTCAATTAATATTTCCCTATTTATTTATACTCAATCATATGAACTATATTTTAATTCATATAACCTCATTTGATTCTTTCCAATTGTTGACTGAGACAATACCAGTCTGGTTCTTACATGTTCTCACAACAAGTATTAACATTTAGATTGATCAAATCAAGAAGTAAATAAAGTACATGAATTTAAATCATCACAACTTCTTTCAAAATTAAAGGTCAATGCTCTCTACAATTTTCTTCCAACACTTAATTACTTATCATTTTAAGAAGAATGATAAAGAAAACTACTCGGTAATGAAAAGTAAAATATCTTTTTTATTAACCAATTTCTCATAAAATGATCATTTTTTTCATAGAGAAAGGATATAATATGTGAAGTTACATGTTTGCGTTACTTTAAAGAGGCGTTACACCATATTTTTAGTATTTTATATGTATGGGCCTAGAGCTTGGCTATCGTCTTACTTGGTCGACTGATCTCGATGAGACTTGGTTTGATAAGAAGACCTGCTCGTTTGGCTATGTTAAGTTGAGGTTGTCGGTCAACCTTCGGTTGGCTTCAAATTGGCTTGATTGACTTGGTTTTTTGGTCTTAATGAGGAGTTCCTATGGGCGATATTTGATTATTGGGCAGATAGTGAATGACTGTAAACCAATAGATAGCTCACTCCCCAATAAGGAGAGTTGAATGGTTGATTTAGATTTCTTGTGATTAGGTTATCTTTTGATCACTGATAAGAAGCCTTTAGAGCCTTTGTGGGATGACCGATAGTATTGAGGAGCTTAGTCTTTCCTAAGGTTCAGGCTTCGACCATTTGAATGTCTTTTGTTTTACGGACTCTAGCTCAAATAGCCGCATTTGATTGGCTTTGACTTTTGCTTTAGTTTGAACTATTATATCCAATTGGATAAATGAGCCTTCTAGTCTTCTATCGATGGGCTTTGATTAGTTGTATTTTTCTTTCTCATGCATCATTGGATCTCCTTGAGATTCGTACCAGCACATTCACAATGTACAAATAGTGTTGTAATAAAATCGTGTTAAGGGCTCATTTTGAATTCAAAAATCATGCTTTCATAAGCGATCTAATTTGTTAAATTCTTTCATTAATTTGTGACGAAATCTTGTGCTGTACTAATCCTGCTTAAGCTCTCTTGCCGCTGTTTCTATTTCTGTTTCCGCAAATAGTGTTGCTTCTGCTTCTTTTCTTGATGATTCTACTGACATCGGCAGGTTAAATTTTCGACCGTTAGCTGGACCGCAGATGGGAAGGGGTTCTTCTATAGTAGATATCCTGCTTCAAAGTTAGTAGAATGAATATATATATATATATATAAGAAGCTTATATATATATATATATATATATGTTTCATTTATGCGTCATGTGCTGTTTTGATGCTTATTATTACAGTTCAATTTCTTGATGTTTTCTGGTAGAGAAAGGGATAATGTGGATTCTGAAATGGAGACTAGCATCAATCTAAATCATCAGCTCTATTACCATTTTTTGGGCACAGATCAGTCGGAGGATTTATTGTGCTGGGAGGACTCGGAGAATCCTGAGTACAGATTTAGAGCAACGGTTACTGAAGATGGGAAGGTCATTTTTATTCATGGAGCTTCTCGCTATAAACAGTTTAAATATTGGTTTACAAAAATCCTGCCTTTTCAAATATTGCAATGTGAACTTGTGATTTTGCAACCTGAAACAGCCGTTTTTTTGTAATAATCACCGTAATTTTTTGAACAACAATTTCTTCTGCAACAACTTAATGCTGTTTGTTCAAACAACTACAGCTACTCCAAAGAGAAACTTTATCATCATCAAGAACATGATGCCAAAAAATGGGGAAACAAAGAAAAAAATATCCTCAATTATGAGAATATGTTTCAAAACAAAGACAAAATATTTAATAGTTGATGACTTCCACTTTTATCAAATCTCTAAGCTACAATACATTTCATAGCACTAGTGCTAACATATTCATAATTTATTACAAACTGTTCTTTCAATTTCATTTTACTAGGTTTAGTATAATTGCTCCCTTTTTCTCTGATTATAATTACTGGCATTGCAGTATATTATTTTATACATCTTTGAAGGCTGTGATCCAGTAAACAAGCTATACTACTACGATTTATCTGCACTTTCTACTGGACTTGAAGGCCTGAAGGGAACCAAAGGCTTACTTCCCTTCATCAAGTTGGTCAATACTTTCGAAGCACGATACTCGGTCATTGCGAACGATGACTCCGAATTCACATTTTTAACAAATAAGGAAGCTCCAAAATATAAATTAATACGCCTAAATCTCACTAAACCTGATGTATGGACTGATATTTTACAAGAAGATCAGAAGGATGTGTTACAGTATGCCTATGCTGTTAATGGGGACCAGCTTTTGGTTTGTTATCTCAGCAATGTTAAGCATATCTTGCAGATAAGAGACTTAAAAACTGGTCTTTTGCTGCATAATTTACCTTTAGATATTGGTTCTGTCACTGAGGTCTCAGGAAGGCGTGAAGATACTCAGATTTTCATCAGTTTCAGTAGCTTTCTTACACCAGGAATTATTTATAAGTGTGATTTGACGTCTGTTGTTCCTGAAATAAAGATATTCAGAGAAGTTTTGGTTCCGGGATTTGATAGAGGAGAGTTTTTAATTGAACAGGTTTACCTCTATTCTAATTGGGAAAAGAATCAAAATGATCCCCTAACCATTTGCAGAGAGCCAAAATGATCAAATAATTTGTAAATAGGAATCAAAAGTCTGTAGGTGGCGCTGTTTTAGTCATCATTTATAGACTTCTTGCAAATAATCATAGGACCATTTTGATTCAAGTGCCAAAATAGTCTCCTGACTACTTATATGTGTTCCTTTCAATAAAAGAGTCTATAAAAATGCTAAATTAGTCCTCACACTCTTTTAATTTGAGCTAAAAGTTCCCTAGGATGGACTATTTTAGCTTCATAAAAAAAAATTTGGGACTAATTTAACACTTTTATAGACTTTGGGACATCTAAAATGAATCAGCCGATCATTTTGACACTTCTCATTTTTATTTATCATTCTTACTTTGTTCAACATGAATCTGTTTAAAGATGTGGACTAATCTTTTTAGATAATATATTATTGTTCTTCGATTATCAGGTTTTCTTCCCCAGTAAAGATGGGACTAAGATACCGATGTTCATTGTTTCGAAAAAGCACATCACCTTAGATGGATCTCACCCAACCTTGCTGTATGGTTATGGGGGTTTTAACTTTAGCTTGACACCATATTTTAGTGTTAATAGGATTGTTCTTGCAAGGAATCTCGGTTTCGTGTTTTGTATAGCGAATATTCGTGGTGGCGGAGAGTATGGGCAAGAATGGCATAAATCAGGCTCACTTTCGAAGAAACAGAACTGTTTTGATGACTTTATAGCTGCATCTGAGTTCCTCATTTCAGCTGGATACACTAATTCAAGTAGACTGTGTATAGAAGGTGGGAGCAATGGTGGATTGCTAGTTGCAGCATGCATAAATCAGGTTTGGTCCCTATTATACTGCTGATGTTCTTCCTTCCGGAAAAGGAAGATCAACATGCATACCACACAATTCATATCTAACACCTAAAGTTCAAGTTTTACCTATATGCTATCTTACATATGCATGAAAATGCTTATTTCACCTTTTGAAAGTTTAAATAATGATATTCTTGATGTGATGTGGAAGATTTAGGTTTTATTAATGTAAAAATCAGGTTTATATGTAAAGGCCCCTATAAAAAATTTAGTAATCCACTCTTTTACATGTTTGTATAAATTAGTTAAATTTGTTTTGCAGAGGCCTGATCTCTTTGGATGTGCCCTTGCTCATGTCGGTGTAATGGATATGCTTCGTTTTCACAAGTTCACTATAGGTTTTTTTGCCTTTTTAACCAACTCTTTTATATATTTATACTCTATAGACTTTTGATGGTTTGACATAAAGATTAAATTTTGTATTTTTTTAATTAGGTCATTCTTGGACATCTGAATTTGGCTGTTCAGATAAGGAGGAAGAATTCCACTGGCTTGTTAGGTATGAGAAACCTTTTTCTTAGTTATATAAACTTCTAATTGCACAACTTGTATTCATAAAGATGAAATTGAATTTAAATTTGTAGTGAGCTATTACTTTCTTAGGCAGCACATCCTCTCAAGTATTTCAAACTAATTCTTAAAAAAAGAAAAAAACTAAAATGGTCTCCTGACAATTTTGTGGGGTGCCAAAATGGTTCCAAATATATAAAAATGTAAAAGTTTACTCCCTATGTTATTCAAATAGATATCAACATGATACCCTAGCAGGATGATTTTAATCCATATTTAAGAAGTTCAGAAATTATTTTAGTCCTTATATAACAAGTTTCAGGATTAATATGAGATCTTTAGACTATTGGAGTATTTTGATCCTCTGCAAAATACAAGAGAATTCATTAATGTCAACTGAAACCTTAATAACTTGTTGTTCTTAACTAAGTAATTTCTACTAATAAATTTCAATCTAACATCAATTCTCATCTAATAATTTAGTAATTTCTTGTTTTTAACTTAGTTTTTTTTTTTTTTAAAGATTCTGTTCTTTCAAGGGGGTTTTCATTCTCTACCAATGTTGCAGATACTCGCCCTTACACAATGTGGAGAGGCCATGGCAAAAGACTTTCGATGGATCGATTCAATATCCATCTACTATGCTATTGACAGCAGATCATGACGACCGTGTCGTTCCATCACACTCATTTAAATTATTAGCAGTAAGTATCCTTTTGTTTATTATTCTGTTCCTCAATCATTGTTATCTTGTTTTTTTCCCCCTTGAATCAATGATTATTTTAACGGAAACTTGGCACTTCAAAACCTTATAAGAGCTATGGTTTTTAAGCGTTTTCGGTTTTTTACCTGATATGTCGAAATGTCGGTTATTGTTTGGCTCTTCTAAAACCTTGAAAGAAACTTAGGCATGGTACAGAGGTACAGAGGGACACTATACATAGGAATATGATGAGAAAATAAGTTTCAAAAATATAATACACAATGTACTTAAATGATGCTTATATATATGTTTAACAAGTAAATAGTAGAATATACATAAAAATATAACTGTTTCTTATGATCACATTGTCTAGTAAAATAACCAAGTTTAAGAAATGAAATTAGAAAAAGTGAATAAGACACAACGCAAGTACAATTAGTTTGAAGGCATGAAAAAGTGTACTTCACTTTTGAAAAGTTATAATGATGATAGTTTAGATGTTATATGAAAGATTTGTGTGACATATATGTAAAAAAAACAAAATGTAGTTGTTAGTGTGATTGTGTCAGCGAGCAAAGCGAGTTTCTGCATCACGAGGAACAAACAGTTAGATATATAAGGAATAGAGTGACATGCGAATCCCCCTACTTTTTGAAATGCTATTGATTGGAAATATAATTAAATAAATTTATATTATCAATTTTTGGCTCTTCTTAGACAATGCAGTACATTCTTTGTTTGAGCATGGAGAAAAGCCCACAGAAAAATCCCATCATTGCCCGCATTGATCGCAAGGCCGGGCATGGAGCCGGTCATCCAACTCAAAAAATGGTTTGCTTTCTTTGCACTTCATTAGTCTTCATATGTAGGGCTCCCAAAAGAGGTCTTCTTGTTTGGGTTTGGCTAAGATAATTTGTTGGAAAAAAAAATTATTTATTTAACAAGCCAAACATACTTGGCTTGATATAACACACACACACACACACACACACACACACACACATATATATATATATAGAGAGAGAGAGAGAGAGAGAGAGAGAGCATGTGAGTTATGTATTCTTATATGTGCTTATACTTAGGGAAATTTACATACATAGCACACATTTCTTATGTATGTACATATCTAACACCTAAACATTCATAGTTACACTCAATTCTTTACTATTACATCAAAATACCACTTTTACTTGTTTTTTAATAGTGTAGTGCACCTTTTCATCCATACATTTAAGACACCAAAGTGTTGTAAATATAATATAAATGCCTAGGTGTTAGATATGCAAATATATATAAATTGTGGTATGTATGTAAATTTCCCTTATATATATTACTTTGCATGGATGGACAGATATATAGATTATTTATATACATAGTCATTAAAGATTACTCTAAAACTTGATCCTTAATATATTCAAAATTAGCTAGTAAGATTAGGTTTGAATCAAACTTGGATCTAGTCTGACTAAATCCTGGTTGCATGCCTGTTGAGCTATGATCAATTCATTTACAGTCCTATTGAAGTATAGTGCTTTCTATAGCATATTTTTACATCAGAATTATGAATTCACGTAAAATCATAACCAAATTAACCTCTAGTTTGGATTTAATTGCAACTAACTAATACTGTTTGTTGCTTCTAATGATAAACGGTGTTTTCTTATCTATTGGTAGATTGACGAAGCTGCCGACCGTTATGGCTTTGTTGCAAAGATGATGGGACTCTCTTGGAACCAGTAATTCTAGGTTGGAAAGAAGTTGAGAACTCGTTAAAAAATAAAATTATATTTCTTACAGACAATAGGGTTCCATGTTTTGCATTGGGGATATATATTTGGAAGCTAATTTAGTGGTCGCAATTCTGAAAAAAAAAAAATGAATGACGTGTTGCAATTTCATATATCTGAAGTGCTCGGATATATTGGCTGCTGATCATACAAATTGTAGACAGAGAAAATGAAGACAACTTTTAGCTGATTTCTTTCCGTGTACCCTTTTTTTAACGCTCTCATACTGTCATACAGTGGAATTTTACTTTGACTTCTTTGAATTATATGATAATCACGTTGCACTTGAAAGAAAAAAAATAAAGACCACTTACTTTTAAGAAAAGGAAAATTAATCATGTAAAATTGTAGCACACAAAGTGATAATCCAATCTTCCATAATACTACATTTCACGAATAATACATTGATTAAATTTCTATAATTCAAAAAAACAAACATAAATGTTTACTGAACGAGCATTTATGCACAGCTCCCTGTCAGGAGAGCTACTGGGTATTATATTAATTCATTGCAGTAACAAAAGAAGATTACCTTAATCTCTGTCTAACTCCCTTGAACAGCAAATAATTTTAGTCTTCAACTTCTCAGCCAATAGAATAAAGAGCAATTTTGCTGCAGATCTCAAAGAGCGCATTTAAGCCTCCATCGAAAGTAACCAAAAGCAACTTAAATGATAACATCCATTTTTACATCAGTAACGTCTAGCTGCAGTATCTCTGCCCTGCATGATAATATGGATCCAATACTGCAATAAGAAGATCAAATGAGTAGTTAGTTGTATTTAATAGAATAAGAAAAGTGTCAAAAATGGTCCCCCAGTTTTTTATAAAGAGCGATTTTAGTCACCAAGTTTATAAAAGTGTCAATTTAGTCCACGTATTCTTTTAATGGGAATAAAATAGCCCAGCCTCAATTCTATTCTAGCCCATTTAATATAGTCTAAGGATTAATTTGACACTTTTATAAACTTGGAGACTAAAATTATCCTATGTAGATAGTCCAAGTACTAGACTTCAAATGATCTGAAACTTCTTTAGAAAACAGCTTCAATACAATCAGTATTAACACAACAAGCATCCATCAGCAATTTATGATCCATAAATTATTGGATTTTCCTCCCTAGCTCAGCGAACAGTTAAAAACTTATTCTGAAGAAATAAAATAATTTTGTCTAAAATTCTAGTGTTGTGTAAATCTTCTATTTTTCTGTGCATGGAAATATACTACTCATCATATTAGTTGTATTACGAAATCTTAAATTAGTCATCATGTAAATCAACATGTTATTTATTTGTTGAGTAAAGTGCTAAAATAGCTTCTTGAATGTTTAAATGGGGCCATTTTTGTCTTAGAGTTTATAAAAATGCGAAATTTGCCCCTGTAATATTTAAATTAAGGCTAAAATAATTGCTACTCCTATACTCTTTAAATTGGAGCTGAAATAGTCATAAATGACATTATCATAGACTTTGGGCATAAAATAATTCTCTGCAACAAAAATTATTTAGCATTGAAGGAGAATTTTAATAGGTATTAGTTCAACAAATTGTGCTTCAAGGCATCTAAGCAAAAGAAGTCCTATAACTTACTTAGGACTGGTACGGCCAAGATCTCCATGTACAAACTCCTTAATATAAGTTCCAGCCTGCATTTGTATCAGACAAAATCAGAAAACTAAAATTCATAAAATATAGAACACAAAAAAAAAATTAAAAAAATAGTTAACGGATAAAAAACATGAAGAAAGATACCAGCAAGAGCATGATTAAATCAATGAAAATTTTGGTGTTTTAGAAACTTGAGAAATCTTAGCGAGCTTGCATAAAAAGTTTTTCCAACAAAGCTTCAGATAAACGCAGTACCTGAGTGCAAAGATGCAATAGAAAAAATTGGTCGCTTCCAACAATTTTCTCAATCCTCATCCTGTAAGATAAAAAATACGTTAGAAAGATTTGCAAAAATACCACTCAATTCCTATGTATTTCCATATCTAACATCAACACTTCAATTTTAAATATGTCACCTTACTTATGCATGAAAATGTGTATTTCACATTTTAAAAGTTAAAACAGAGCTATTTTTTATGTGATATGAAAGATTTGGGTGATATAAATGTGAAAAAAGTGAAGATTATGTGTTAGTTTTGTATATACATAGGAATTAGGTGGTGTGTATGTAAATGCCCCAATATGTTAATAACAGATACCGTTTCTTGATAATGGAATACAGAAATGGCAAAAGCAGATTTCTCTCTCCCTCTCTTTTTCTTTTCCATTTGTTTAAAGAAAATTCACATTATGTCCAAAGCACTAAAGCACTTAAGTTGATAATGCCACTAAATTTAATGAAACACGTCCTACCAATGAATTATTCGCTTACGCTCCAATGGGCTCCGCCGATGAAGCACTCTAATTGGCGTACTCTGTGAAATTTCCTAGCATACCAAGAAAAGAGAAAAATGTAAAAAAACAAAACCAATCAAAATTTTAAAGGAAGAAAAAAGGAAGATTAAGCTGAAGGGAAAGGAGCTGGTAAACAAAAATCTTTTGGATGGTTGCAAAAATATATTTGGCTAAGTTGTAATTATACCTAATGTAACTATTAATAGGAGTGTCTCACAAATAATGATTTAATTAGCTGAGCTCAAATAGGTTGAGTTCGGACAAACACATACAAAGTCTGGCACAGCATAGATGAGATGCGCAAGATGGACGAAGACCACAGAAAAGAAATACAGGGATGATATGCATACAGCCAAATAATTGTGTTTACATATCTAACACCTATACTACAACTTTTACATTTACACCACCCAAATCTTTATATTACATCAAAATATTATTATTTAAACTTTTAAAATGTGAAATACACCTTTTCATGCAAAGGTAAGGTAGCATATGTAAAAATTGAAGTATAGGTGTTAGATATGCAAACACATAGGAATTGAATGGTATCTATGTAAATATTCTAAACAGATTATTGACCAAGTACAATGTGAAACAAAATGCAATGAAAATCGGAACTTGCACCAAACTAAAAGGGCAGCATGCGAGATGCTTCACCATATTATTTAGAGATGAAATAATCTGAAGGTCTTCATCCATGAGCGGGCGAGAAATCCATACTAGAGCAGCATACTGTTTCTAAATGGAAGTAAAATTAATTAAATCAGTAAAATCTCTCTCTCTCTCTCTCTCTCTCTCTCTACATAAATACGACTGCAGATAAATATGCTCAAATATAAAGTCCAGAGCATCAGAATTAAAAAAAAACAAGTAAAAATTACATATGTAGCCCACAATTCTTATGTATTGGCAGATCTAACAAATAAACTTTCATATTTACATTCATAGAACTAGGGTGCTTTAAACCTATGCATGAAGATGTGAGTTTCACTTTTAAAAGGCGGTAATAGTGCTATCTTTGATGTGATATTAAATGTTTGAGTGCTATGTGTGTAAATATGAAATTTTAGCTGTGAGAAATGTAAATACATTAGAATTGTGTGTTATGTATGTAAATGTCCCCCAATAAAAAAACCTGTTTCTCTGCCTCTCCCACACGCATCAGATTCCATGCTTCACTACCAACAACTTTAAGGTTCCTCACCATAACCTACGAGTAATAAACCATTGAGCAAAGCAATCATAAAATCAAATGAAAAAAATTAAATGAAAAAGTTGTGGCCATGTCTTGAAATATACATATTTTTTATCTGAGCTGTTTATTTTCACAGCAATTTGGAGAACATCAACCATTGAAGGTAAGCATCGTGCATTTGACAATTCAACTAAGAAAGGACGACCAGATCCTAACATCCGTACCTGAGTAGAAAATTGTGTTTAGTAATGCCGAAAGAGGAAAATGTCAAGATAGTTTATATAGGTCCATTTTACATAAAGTGACAAATTAGTCCCTAGAATTTTTGTTACCGCCACTAGAAGGGAAAACAGTGGCAACACGAAAACAAATTTTCATTAACATTAGAATAGGATTTGAACATAAATAACAACACAAGACACAAAACGACACAAACAACACTCTTAGAAGTATCTCAGTGGGTGGCTGAGGTCAGCTAGAAAGATAGAAATGATTAGGAAGGATGACGGCAGTCGCGTAAAGGCAGGTGGCGAATGGAATGTGCGGAACTATAGGGACAATAAGTGGGAATGGTTGTAGGTGGTCAGCAGCGGTAGTGGGGTGGTTGGGAGGAGCTTAAAGAAATTAGGAAGGCTAAACAGTAGTAGTAATTTGCAGAAAGGGAATGGTTGGCTGACAAAGAAAGTTGGCAGCAAAGGAGTGGGGGAGGAGAATGTTCGAGAAATGTAAAAAGGGAAGAAACAATCACCACCTTAGAGAAAATACATCCGAAGCGACATCAACTCCTCAGATACAACCCGCAAAGGGGAAAGAGACTTCACACATGAGATCTAAAACTAAACAAACTAAGAACTGACTCACCATACACACGGGACAACTATTTATAGCCTCACAATAAACTTCTACACAAAAGGAGAGAGTAGGAAGGCAAATAAAATCCTGAAAATCCAAAATTCCACAGTTGGCGCCCGTCTGGATCGCGCAAGTTCGCGTTCCTTTTCGTTGCTCCTGCGCGAGTTCTCCTGCTATAGCGACGTGCTCGCATCGGGTGCGGCGCTTTTAGAGACCGCAATCGAGAGCTGCCCTAGCGCCTCGCTTGCGTCACTTTTTAAATATGAGTACAATTTCAGCTTATATTAAAAGAGCTTAAGAATTAAATTGGTTCTTTTATAAACTTTGGGACTAAAATGAATCCTTGTAAAAGTCAGGATTATTTTAACACTTTTCTCGATCCAAAGAGAACAATAAATAAACTTGGGGGAAGAATCAACTGTATACATCAATATCTTCTCTACCAGCGGCATGAAATTTGTAGCTGTCAGCTCTGCAGATTTCAAGGGCATGAGTCCCAACTATCTCCTGCCAAACAGTAGGTCATTAACCAATTATAATGTTAAAAAAAAGTAGAAGGCATGATAGAGCATCGAAAATCAGTAATTGATATCAACAAGAGCAAGCAGCAACCATTCAAAAATGATTAACACCTCCACAGATGCTTCTCCCATTCTTTCATCCTCAATTATCCAGCGTGTTTGGCTCACCTTCCTTGAAAACTATTTTTAGTAGTAAAAAAAATTGTAGGAAAAAAAAGAAAAGACAAAACAAAACAAAACTTTATATCAAATATGTCAAAAAGTCAAAACGTCAATAGAAAGATAGAATTACACTATCAACTGACTTCAACAAGGCTACGGGAAAAGAATATTTTTATGTTCTTATACTCAGCTATCAGTGGTCAACAACCTAGGAAATGCAAGGCTAAGAGAAAAGTGTTAAAATGATTCCTGACTCTTTGAAGTGGGCCATTTTAATCACATAATTTATAAGAGTATCAATTTATTTCCTAACCTGTTTTAATATTGGTTGAAATAGTCCCTAGTGAGGACTACATTAGCCCCCATTTAAAAAATCTCGGGAATATTTGAATACTATTATAAAATCTGGAACTAAAACGACCCTTTGAAAATAGTCAAGGAGCTATTTTGGCACTTTACTCTTTTTTTCTAACCAGTGACTATGAGTACTAAGCACACAAAGCAACTATTGCCATCCTTTATGCTATCTTTAATGGTATAGAACATTATAAAGCCCGACCATGTCAGCTACAAAATGCATGAGAAGCATTTAGACAATAAGAACACCTTTAAATATCTTCCTCCAATAAACATGGGCATTCTATAACATGAAATCAGCAGCCGGCCAGGATTGGACACCTAGAGGAATGTTACAAAAGGTTTTAAGCAAATTATATTAATGAAAACATCTAAGAAGTTAGGTAAGATTCCCTGAATGGGTGGAAACTAACCTTCTTGGGTGGTAATTCAAACAACTCACAAAAGATATGGTCTTCCAAGCCATTAAGTTCTTTCAAACTAGCTGCGTCAGATTTACTGCATAGCTGCTCCCTGGAATCTATTTGGCCATTGCTACACAACGATTCGGCAAAATGTGCCACGTTCTCTTTCTCTGCTACCGCATAAAGTATATACCATATAAGCTTCAACAAAAACTACTGGAGGCATTATGCATGTTCAACTCTAGGTGAACAATATTGCATGGTTTTATTGAAATAAATGTATTTTAATTCAATCAATTTTAGTAATAGTTCAAATCCTATCGAGGAACTTGTGGCTTCCATGAGTTTGTTGTTCGGAACTTTCCAGGTTTAAATCGCCATTGTATCGTGAAAAAAGCTAAAACTAGTTACAAAATGATATTTGTTAAATGCCTTTCTCGATAAATTTCAATTTCAAAATATAAAAAAAATAAATAGACAAATACATTCCTACAATATATTATAAATTGAAATACCTCACTATAAAATTTTTGGAGATTTTGGGAACATCACACTAATACTACTTTACAACTATTCACCTTAATTTCCAGATTAGCTTTTCTAATGAGACCAACGTTTAGGTTTTGCTTCGTTTTTGCTTTCTGCCCGTTTTCTTAATGTGGAAATCAGCCATAAAAAAGATAGGGGTCATTTAAATTTTTTTAAAGAAATTGTACTACTTTTTTCAAGATTTTTTCACAATTTACTATAGGAAAACTGCTTTTGCAGAGCAAAATAAAAACTAAGGTTGAGAGCAAAAAGTTTTACAAAAAAAAAGTAATGCATGAGCCATTGGCTAAGCTTAGTGGAATAGCCTGTTGTAGAATACTAGGAAGAAAAGAAGCGACGATTAAATCTGGGGGTGGTTCTTTTCTGGGACAATTATTTTTTAGGAGCATCTACATACATAGCACACAATTCTTATATATTTACATATCTCACATCTAAATTTTCATATTATATAGCACTAAAATCTTTAATATCATATAAAAATTAAAACTATTGCCACTTTTTAAAAGTGAATACATATTTTTATGCATAAGCTTAAAGCACCAAAGTGTTGTATGTAAATATGAAAGTTTAGGTGTGGAAAATGTAACCACATAAGAATCATGTATTCATGTTACGTATGTATATTTTTGGCTAAAAGAAAGCTGGGCCATGGATTGTTTCAAGCAAGGACAAAATTTCAGTCTTTTGGCATCAAAATACATCAAACTCAACACAGGTAAAAACAACAACACGGAGACGATAACAAGCCTTTATCCCACTAAGTGGAGTCAGCTACATGAATCATTTTACTCCATTGTGTGCTATTGTTATATTTTCATTGAATTCTAATAAATTAAGATCATTTTTTATATAATATGTCTAAATTTTTTTATGTCTACCTCTGTCTTTTTTAACATAAATTGAATCTAAATCATCTACTCTAATAACTGGATCATTAGCTGGTTGACGTTTAATATGAACAAACCATCTAAAACAACTTTATATAATCTTGTTTATCACTGGAGCTACACCAACCCTTTCACTAATAGACAGAGTAAAGAGAAATTAAAAAATAAACCTTTTTTAAGGACGGAGCAATCTTGAAATCAATCCAAAATGCCTGTTGCTATTTGGATCTCGACAGTAATTAAATCCCAATGCTTCCAACCATACTATATACACAATAATAGCAACCAACTTATAATGCTCAAATACAGACATTATAAAACAGAGCAGCTATGCTAAATATCAAATTAATCATGGAAAGGATAGTTATATACCTGTTCTCATTCTCTTCGAACTTTGAACTTTTCTCAACAAATTTTGGAGACTTAATGTTGAGTCAAAGTTGGCGTACATAAGACAAATATGGAAGGAATTGGCACCACATTTGACATTCTGCAACTCAACAATTAGAATGTTTCAAAACTTACCGTAAACACCATAAACCTTCACCAAAATTAAACTTTCCTAACAACTTAATAACCCAAAATAGTAAACTAGATTTACTGAGAATGAGAAGAGTGAATACCAATTTTTTTTCAAGTGGCTCAGTTATCGATAGCCTCAAAGCATCCTTTAAGGAAATCTGATTGTGGAGAAACTTATCATTGAACCATGCTTCCCTATGATATTTCTTTTTCATATACAACCTAAACAAGTTTGAAGGCTCTCAACTACAGGCAAAAAGGACTTTTGAAGCAAGTGAAAAATCAGCACAAAACATAAGTCAATGAAAGTTCTACAAGAAAATTTTTATTTCTAATGTTCTTTTCCTAGATTTTTTGCATTCTGATGCTTCAGTAATTACTTGAAATAGGAGAATTGATGATAAGCTAAAAGAAATAAAAAATAACTTTATAGCAGAGTTCAAAGAAACAGAATATACGTACTCATGCTATGCTAAGCTACACCAATTTGCCTATAGCCTATACCAAGATAATTTTTTTCGTACGCAAATAATATTTTAAAACAATATGCACTGTTCGGGCATTAAATTCTAAGCGCATTGAAGAACATCACATTACCAGATAGAACGTTCATTAGCAACAATAACTGGTGGTATTGAAACTTCAAGAAAAAACCCATCAATTTCATGATTCTCTATTTTTATAGATTCAGCAATTTTCTCCACAAAGACATCAATTGAATAGTTATTCTCGGATCTCCTTTCGCCCAGATATAGTTCATTAGGAAATTGTAGTATACCCAAACATATTGAGCAATATTTTTGGTCAACATCTGATTCCTCTGAAGTATGTAATCCAAAAGAGATATGCCCGTTTTCTGAGATGGCACCTTGGCAGTCATTTTTCACACTTAGAAAATAACGCAGCACTGGTCCTGTAAGAAGTGGGGAGGAGTAAGGAGCTCCACGAACCCCAAACAATCTAAAGATGCACCGCACACATACCTAAAGCAAAAAAAATAATGTAAGAATGAAATGTTGCAATTCAATAGTGGATAACATGAAAAACACATTAATAAAATAATTAGAGAATAACTGGTATGTTTGCAAAAGTAGAATTAAAGTGAAAAAAGAATTAATAAAATAATTAGAAAATAACTGGAATGTTTGCAAAAGTAGAATTAATGTGGAGTACCGACCCTATTATTGAAAAAATTAAAGATTGCTCGATTGCAATGATATATGAGAAAATTTCTTAGGCAACCTTATATTCACTGTTGGTCAGAGCAAGGTTCAAAGTGAAGCTAAAAGTAAAAAAATGTAAGATTGTTAAACTAAAGATGGAAAATAATATCAGCAGATAAATTGTGTTAGAAATGAGACATCTAGCACATTGGACCTTTTACTGGTTTAAACAACTAATTGGTAAGATCAATCATTCATCATATGATCAAAGATCACTTAATCCTATAGTAAAATCTCAACAAAGTTACGTGTTTCATTTTGTTGAAATTGATGCCTTGATCTATTTTGGAGGTTAGCCACATCCATGGAGAACTGGTAGAATGAAATCTACACCTAGAATATGTTTTATGATTTGCTTGTGAGGTTATTTATCTGTTGATTTTACTTTTGGGGATGTGTGTGTGTGTGTGTGTGTGTGTGTATATATATATATATATATATATATATATATATTTTTTATGTGTGTGTGTGTGTGTGTGTATTTAATTGCATGCTAATCATATTCTGTACCAATTGTGATTGTTCTGACTTATTTTTAAACCTTTTTTCTTCTTCAATTGTGTGTTTAATCTTAGACATGTTGGAGATCTACGATTATACACTTTCATGGAACCAGAGCAGTTTCGATTGCAATTGTTCTTACTCTCTTCAAAAAATATAGATTTAACAAATAATCATAAAGTAGAATGAACAATTTCAAACCTTGCAGCATAAAACCCACAGTACAGTTGACGGGCGTATGGCCAAACGTTTACAATATCCTATTCAACAATATGAAAGTGACGGAATAGAACTCGTAAGTGAAGTTAACTTCCAGAGGATTTCACGTGAAAAGTTTGGAAATACTGAAAATAGGGAAATATAGAACAGCAGCACAATCAAAATTGATAAAACATGAAAAATTGTTGCAAATAAGTATAAAATTTGGTTAAAAACAGGGAAATAAGCCAATTAGCAGAGTTAGATCTTGTTAGCACTCAGAATACCACAAGTATGTATAAAATGAAGTTAGCTAAGTTAATAGATCTGTAAAAGAAGAAAAATGAAAGATGATAGAAAGAGGAAGAGAACGGACCCCAGAAGACAAAAGATCGAAGGATACATGAGGAGGAGGGAGAGAGTAAACTGCGTGCGACAAGATGATTCTCGCCTCTGCGGCCATATCTCCGGCCATCGCTGCTCCACCCGTATGAAATTGACGGGCCGATCGATAAAATTGTGCAATCCCGCTTACCCTAGGGGTAGTTTGGTAAGTAGGAATTAATCAAATTAATTTAGGCGATAATTTGGATATCAAAATTGTATTTATGTAAATATAAATATTTACAAATGCATATTTATAAATTTTGTTGTCTGGATGTAAATCGCAAATACATCATCTTATTTCTTACTAAAGTTCTTTCATAAAAAAATGATTTTCTAAGTAAATTTTTTGATTAATAAATAATTTTTTTATAAAAAAATAATACCGAAAAATCGGGCGTGTCATCAATAAATTTGTATCATCTCTCAAGAATCTTGGGGCACTTTATTAGCGAGAAGCATTCCATATTTAAATTCAAGATAATATATGACCTCAAATTTAACAAATTTATAGTTAAACTGATCGTTTCGATAAGACGAAACTAATGATAATGAAATTGGCTCTATCCGAGTTAAATCAAATCTAGATCAAGCCATTAAAACTCATTTAAAGGCTTCAGATTTTTAATTGAACATTCAAATAAACTTTAAATTGAATATACTTATAAACAAATCGAGCATCTGAACAAGAGGAATCCACTGAGCTCACAATCTCTCAATTCTAATTTCATTTAAAACCTTTAAATCATTAAAAAAATATATCTCATAATGAAGGTGGAATAATATAAGCACTTTGATCATGTGGTTACACGAGGTATTTGCCAAAAAAAGACAAAAGTTTCCCTCCCTTGGAGCCTATAAATAAACCCTCTCTTCACTTGGGGGACAGAGATAGAGAGATATGGAAGAATTCTATTATTGTTTTGGACTAAAAACCAGATAATAAATTCTTGTCTCTATAGTCTCCAATCATCATCGATCACTGTTCATCATCAGTCGCTCGCTATTGTCAATCACTTCTAGTTGTAATGACATATTTGAATAAGTCAGCAACATACAACATCATATTAAAAATCTAGTTATAACTAATTCTAATGTTATTTTGGACGAAAGACCCAGTGATAACTATTTCAGGCCTCCACAGTCGTTGACCACCACCGTTAGCCACCCATGCTCGCCATCTTCGGTCATCTTTGTTTGTAACGTCGTATCTGAATAACGACTATAACATATAACATTATATTGAAGATCCATCAATAACATTTGACAACATTTTCTAAACTCCTTAAGTTTTACATATGTTATATACGAACATGTGTAGAATTATAACTATATTCTCCCAGTTGTGAGATAAATATATATATATATATATATATATATATATATAAAATTTTAACTAGTCTAGGCCCCACGATTGCTTCCCCTTATGAGTTTTTTCACCTAAAAAAAAAAACATGTGGTCTCCTTCAATCACTTTTTAATTATCTTTGTGTGTGTTGGATTTCGTATAACCTTAGGATAATAATTTATTGTCACTACGAATTTTCTTGCACACAACAATAATAATTCAACTAAACAATGAGTGAGTTTGTTTTTTTTAACATTCTTAATAATTTAATGTTATTTTTTTCTAATTAGATTATGTTATTACGCTGAGATAGATTGTGTTAAATAATTGTTCACTCGTATCTCTCAGTTTCGTCAATCAAACTTGATGATGAGTTTGTCAAGGGGAGATTGTCCCACATATATTGAGTTTGGGGCAAATTTTTTTTCTTTTGTGCTTAGCGCTTTGGTGCCAGGAAAGCAGTGCGTGCTCAATAATGGTTCAAAACATGAGAGCTCTACAACATCTGGAGTCAGCGCAACAATTCTTATTTGAGTGTAGCGACACTTTTATCACAGCGGTAACCATATTTGAACATATTTAAACTTTATAGTTTGGATTTTGCCAATGGGAATTGTATGGATTTTGATTTTCTGGTGTAAGGGAGGAGAAAAAAGCTTGACATCCAAAGTGTAAAAAAGTTTGTGTGGTGTAATTTATATAATTCCCCTCATTTTCTTTCATAGTTAATTTTCTTAGTGTGATGTGACTCCGTGATTTTTTTCATTCTTAGATTTCTCCACATTAAATCTTATATTTTTGCGATTTTATGTTTTGCGCGCTTATGTTTGAAGTTACTTTTCGCTCGTATCTTCTGAATCTATTCCGCATTTCATGTCACTCTCAACAAATTATTATTAGTATGTTTTGAAACATCGTACGAATAATGCAGCTTGATAGCATTTTTTTGCTAGTTTGTGTTCATGGAGGGTATTACTTTTGTTAAGAATTATAATAGGAAATAATTTATTCCTATAAGTTATGAGGAATAAATTATTTCCTTAATATAAGAAGATATTTCTTTTTTCCTATTTTATATTTATTTTATATTTATTTCATTAGATTAAGAATTATTTGTTTTCTTATTTTATGTTTTCTCATATATCTCTTAATAATTAATATGAATTAATTATTGGAGATATTATATGATATATCTTTCCTTTCATATCATTTCCTTTTTATTATTTTTCCTATTATTGAGTTCTTGCAAGGGTTATTTATACTCTCATTCATATCAATGAAATAATTAAGTATTCCGCATTATTCTGAAATTTTAACATGGTATCAGAGCGAGGTTTCGTACCCTAGCCACCGGTCTTCTTTTGAGAATTGTCGGACTCCCTTCTTGCCATCCTCTGTGCAGGAACGGAGGGACACTCATCTTGATATTTGAAACGACAATTTTTTCTTCTTCTCCAAATCCCTAATTCTTCGCCTCCTCGTTAGGTTACAGAAGTCATGGAAAGAATCACAAAGATGTGCTCCCGTGAGTTCGAACCATCTTCGAGTCCGCGCATCGGCGTCAACCTCAGCAGCATGGTCGTCAAGTCTCCAGCCAGCAATAGTGGAGGGAGCGATCTTGACATCGGATATGACACCGATGATCGCCATTGTGGTTTCCCGCCGCATCAGCACCGACTTAATTCTCCACAAGATGTCCATCCCCGTGATTCTCCGTTGTCCAGACGACACAGTGGAGGCTACTCGTCACCGCCATCACCTAGAAATGCATGGGCTGATGTTTTGGAGGATTCTCCTTCTCCGAGGACTTTCAGAAAGTCGGGAGATCTTACTCTACTTCACTTCTGTACAAGGCTCCCAAGAAACCATGACAACAAAGATGTTTCGAGTTTCGCCAGACATCACCACAAACCTTTAAAAAAAAAAAAAAAAAAACTTTGTGTTATGTCTTCCTATGTCTGCACCAGCGATGGGGCTCCAGCCAAAGCGACACCAACGATGCCGCCACCCGCCTCATCATCATCCCGTCGGAGATATCACTATCGTGGATCGAACAATGCCGACAAAATCCATCGCCGGCCCTTCCTCCTGCAGCATTTTTTTCTTCTCTGTCAAAGCATGAGGGCTCCTGCAATATCTTTCTTCCCAGCCAAAGCATCAGGGGAAGTTGTGTTTCCGGCCGGTCATTTCTCCTGCAGTTTTTTTTTCTCCTTACCCAAGCGTCAGGGGGAGTTGCGTTTCCAGCCAACCGTTTCTCCTGCGGTTGTCTCTTTCCCCGCCAAACTCGCAAATCAATCTGAATCTAACAAATTCAGCCAAGCCTGAATTTTTCTTCTACGTCGAAACATATGACAGACAAACTGAAAAATTCAGCCAAGCCTGAATCTAGCAAATTCAATAATCCAAACGACCAATTTTTCTTCACTACTCAGCAAGTTAGGAATTATTAACATACATTCCAAACTTGAGGGGGAGTGTTAAAAATTATAATAGGAAATAATTTATTCCTATAAGTTATGAGGAATAAATTATTCCTTAATATAAGGAGATATTTCTTTTCCTATTTTATATTTATTTCCTTAGATTAAGAATTATTTGGTTTCTTATTTTATGTTATTTCATATATCTCTTAATAATTAATATGAATTAATTATTGGAGATATTATATGATATATCTTTCCTTTCATATTATTTCTTTTTTATTATTTTTCCTATTATTGAGTTCTTGTAAGGATTATTTATACCCTCATTCATATCAATGAAATAATTAAATATTCCACATTATTATCAAATTTTAACAAAATATAGGAATTTTGTAGATTTGCATGCATGCCACTAACTTTTTATATATTAACATATCTAACATATTAACTTCCAACTTTTACGTGCATGTATCTTACCTTTGCATTTCTTTCAACGGTAGTATAAATGTGTTACATACATACAACCTAAATCTCATGTATTTACATATCAAACATCTAAACTTTATTTTTTTACATTTATACCACTTACATTTATACCACTCATATACCACTCAAATATTTCATATCACATTATACATACCATTGCTTCAATTTTTAAAAAGTGAAGTGCATCTTTCAATGCACCGAGAATGCGGCATGCATGTAAAAACCGAAGTGTTAGATATATAAATACATAAGAATTGAGTGATATGTGTGTAAATCTTTCCTTTTTTTTTTCTTTACAAATTAAGTTTATTGGATGGATGTAATGAGAGCACAAATCACTTATTAATCTACTCATGCATGATACATTGGACTGCCGGTTGTGAGGCGCTAAATTTGATCTGAATTTTATGCGTCTCGCTTATTCTCATAAGAAAATTATGATCACGAGAATCTAGACTTTAGAAGGAATCTGTGAGCATACACATTGAAGATTTCATCTATTAAATCAAACTTATAATAGTATTTAATATAATGAATTCTTCTTCTCTATCTGTTATTGTTTTTATTATTATTTTATTATTTATCACATCATTTAAGTTTTTACATATTTGAGTGTCGTGTATCCCGACTTGTTAGTTGGCATCTGTGATGTTAGTTGTAAGTCCCCTGAGGTCAGTGGTTCGAATCCCCCTCTGACGACGATCATCTTATAAAAGATGGTACTCGAATTGTTAGGCACATTAGGAATCACTAGGGACTCTTATAATAGTCTCTAGCTATTCCTTAATAAAAAAATTAAAAAAATATATATGTTTACATAGTTGATGTGTGTGTTGGCCATTAACTCGTGATTTTATAAATGATTGGGCTCCACTTGCAACAAACTTGGCCCACTTGCATTAGTTCTTGTACTTTTGTCAATTCACTGGGACCATTCAATAATTCAATGAGTTCCTTCAGTTGGATTCATTTAAAACTTTTAAAATATTTAAAATATAATATAAAATTTTATGATATTTTATGCCATAGATTATGAATATTTAATTTATGCTCCATTCAAATAATAAAAAAAATAACTTATGCCTCTGCTACAAAAATATGAACTCCACTAACATGCATATAATGAATCAATAATATTTCTATTGTTGATATGCATAATTTATTAAAATGATTAATTCAAGTAGATGCAAAGAACTTCAGCTAAAATTTATGAGAATCTAAAAGTTTTATTGATTATTTTCTGGGGCATTTACTAGGGGCGTAAACGAACTGAACACGAACGAACATAGCTCATTGGCGAACCAAACAGAGCATTTACATACATACGGACCGAACATGGCTCATTGACGAACCGAACACAAACTGTTCGAGAACAACGAGCTTTTTTGACAGCCCTAGCATTTACATACATACTACATAATTCTTATGTATTTATATATCTAACACCTAAAAAATTATATTTATAGGCATATTACTAAATATCACCATCATTAAACTAGCAGCCTCATCGCTCCTTGAGTATTAAAAAGAGTAAGAAGCACTCTCCACAAGCTAACTCTACTAAGAAGACATAATAATCAAAAATTTAAATTTCATCTAAAAACATAAGAGAAATATAAACAAAAATAGAAGACATAATAATCAAAATTCACCTCAAATAATTTCAATTCTACAAGCTGGAATTCATTAAAATAATTAAAAAAAAAACAAAAATATAAACAGATAAATGCTCAAATATTGATTACTGAATATGTTTTGAATTTCAGTTTTAAATGTCCAGAATATCTTGATACAAACTTTTTTTTTCCATACCAGGTCGATAATTCAGTCGTCTTGCTCGACCAACTGCCGGAAATTGATCGGAGCGGCGAACTCCGGCGAACCGCCATAGATGGCCAGACCTGCAAGCTTAGATGCTGCATGTGTTGGATGTAACCTATCCCAGAACAAGTATCTGTTTCGTTCAAAGCAGAAGGAAGCATTCGGCGTGCAGCCGAACTCTCCGTTAAATTTTCCTCCACCACAGCATGCACTTTTAGTCTCTTTAATACCTATGTATGATACAAATTAAGAATATTTTCTATGCAAAAAACAATAATTTCCCATGAACTGAATCTCTTGATAATATAAAAGTTTGTAATTCCAAACAAATACTTGTAATCATACATTTTAAGAAATGTTTGTTTTATAGTTGAAAAATATGTTGAAGTTAAAGTATATCATATGATAGGACCTTACCAATAAGTTTAAATTTTGAGTTGAAAATGAATATAAAGGTTAGTTTGATATGACTTGTGCTTTTTTTTTATATGCTGAGATTTTTTTTTTAAAAGAAGCACTTTCCATTCAGCTTTTTCAAAAGCAACTTTCTTAAAGAAAATTATTGGAATAACAAAGCAATTTTATCATCTAAACAACCTGCACTGTTTGTTGATTGTTTTTTTCTTATTGATATATTTTTAGTGCGTTTTTTATATGTTTTAATTTCTAGAAACAAACTAATCTATTTTTGAAACACTCAAAATAATTTTAGATGTTTAGAGCATTTTGAAAAGCAATCATATCTTAATCGTATATGCCAAACATATTATGTTTCAAATTAAAACATAATAAAACAAAATAAAATAATAAAAATAGAAAACATGAAAGTAATCTCAAACAGGCTCATCAAGTTTTGTATTTACCGAGTGCGGACGGATTGCGGATGATATTTGAAACGACCGCATTGGAACTTCCGACGGAATACTTCATCCCTTTCAATGTCAAGCTAAGGTCATGCATAAGAGCCGCCGCGGCTTTGTTGAATCGCAAAGATAGTTCATTGAGCACATCTAGACAGCCACTAGTAGGGTTTAGACTCCTTGGATATGGACAGCATCCAATGGGTGGAATATCAACAATCCCAAACCTCCTTGCTCCCAAATTGTACAATTTCTGTAGCATTCAATACAAGAGATCAGTTCCTTAAAGTTTAGTTTTTATATTTATACCACTCAAATCATTCATATCACATCAAAAATATCACCATTTTAGCTTTTTAAAAGTAAAATACATCGTTTCATGTATAGGAAACGCCGCAAGTACGTAAAAATTGAAGTCTACGTGTTAGATACGTACATGCATAGGAATTGAGTGGTATATATGTATGCAAATCTTTCTAGATATAAAATGTTTTGATCTGCTGATTGGTTACGAAAGATGCAAGACAAAAAGGGAAACTTCACCTCAAGGTGGTACTTGTAGGTTGATACAAGGGTGGTGATAAATTTCCCTTTATCCGAGACATTTGGAGCATTATTCTGTAAGAAGTAGTCAAATATATCATTACCACCTGTGCTAATAATGAAAATTGATTTGGACAGAAGCTGATCTGCCTGCATTTCAGACAAATGGGCTGTCATATTCGATCTAATAGTTGCAAAATTTTGTATTTGCTTGGCAGTTGACATGGTGTTGCCCTGGCCAATCGAAGGATGAAACCCATTGAGTTTGTGTCGAAAATATATAAAAGAACAGCGAGGAAATTGAGAAATCAACAAGGCGGCGATCCTAACCGTGGAGTCGAGAATGCCTGATCCGCCAGAAGCAAAGTTGGCACCTTTGATTCCTCTTGCAATTTGGTGATGGATCTTTGTTGCAATAGAAAGAAAAGGTGGAGGGCTCCTTCTAAAGCCCATATGCATAGCTGAAAAATATGATATTAAAATTGAAATGATCGAACTATCAACGAATTTTATGCAAAAAACAAAAGAAGAGTTACATAAAAGAAATTTTGAACAATAAAATTTAAATTGGTTGTATTAATTTTCATTTGTAAAGAAAAGTTCAATCTAAAGACGGCCATGATGAAAGCATGGAGTTTCTAATTTTGATTTTTTTTTGCCTTTATCATTCAATGATAGATCGAGGTATTACTTGCTTCTCGAGCTACACACAAGTTTCTTGTGTTTAGCTTATGGATCACCATGGTAAAATAATGAAAAATTTACATGCATAGCACACAATTCTTATGTATTTACATGTCTCGCATCTAAATTTCTATATTTACACATATAACGCTTAGATGCTTTTAACCAATGCATGAAAATGTGTATTTGAATTCTAAAAAGTGCTGATAATTATATTTTTTATGTGGTGCTAAGGAATTGAGTGCTATGTGTGTAAATATGAAAATTTATGAGACATTATAATTGCATACTATGCAGCCTGATAACGGACTTAATAAGAGGGGGTACATGTCAAGTAACAGCCTCGGATCATATATATTCTTGATGTACAATACAATTTCGGTAGTAATTTTTCATTCCAATTGGAAAATGCAGTCAAATTTTCGGGGCATGTAAATGCCCCCCAAAAAAATTGAAGAGAAACAACAGGGAACATAACCATTGGAGACAACTCATTTCTTGGTCCATGTTCAGCATCCTTTCAAGCAATTTTCCCTCTAAATATTTCATCTCAAATCTCTAATAGATATTAAAAGTAAAATGGTGATAATTATGGGGCACCTAGGGAGCAGGTTATCTCACTCTCCCACAGTCAAGTATTCACTTTCAAGAAACGTGTACAATTAAGCTCTTCTTTAATAGAAAATAAGCCAATCTATGTGTTATAATAAAAGTTAAGATGATTTTCTTCAAAATATAAATCCTTAATATCAACCATGAAGAATGATTTAAGGAATTTGAAGTTTGAATATATATACACATACACATGCATAGAAAGAGAAAGAAAATGAGTGAGGGAGAGGAAGAGACTTAGAGAGAGAGAGAGAGAGAGAGAGAGAGAGAGAGAGAGAGAGAGAGAGAGAGAGAGAGAGAGAGAGAGAGAGAGAGAGAGAGAGAGAGAGAGAGAGAGAGAGAGAGAGAGAGAGAGAGAGAGAGAGAGAGAGAGAGAGAGAGAGAGAGAGAGAGAGAGAGAGAGAGAGAGAGGAATCATGCACATCTCACTTTAAATAATTTTCACCATGAAAACCCCAAAGTGAAATAAAGATTGTAGATCTCTTGAGCAACAGTAATAAAACTGCCTTAGGACTACATTTCATAAAATAGTTTTATTATTTGGTTGAGTGTCAATGTTAAAAAGAATAAAAATCATAAGCTGAATAATGTTAAAAGATTTTTGATGTTATTTTATTATTGTTTTAAAGACCAAGTAAACGAGGTCCTAATCTAAATATAAGTTTCTTCGATTACTAACAATTCCATTTGAGACGCTAAAGAATATTCAATTCACAATATTTAGAAGTTTCTTTAACATAACTTATAAGTCTAGTTTACTAACAACCAAACAATATTAAATTTGAAGAAATTTGGTTCCCATCTCGATTTATCTGTGGTTAGTGAGATCAAAAACATATATTGAGAAAAGGAAAAGTGAAGAGAAAAGAGAAAGGTTATTGCTTGAGTATACCGGATCTCAACTCTACAATTGGTTTGTTTTAAGAATTGTGCAGTATGTATGTAAATGTCTCTGGGGCATTTACATACATACTCTTATGTATTTACATATTTAATACTTAAATTTCATATTTTTTATATGCATACCACTCCAATCTTTAACATCACATCAAAATACTACCATCATTATATCTAAAAATGAAATATACCTTCTCAAGTATAGGTTTACACGCCAAGGTGTTATAATTGTAAATATCAAATTTTGGGTGTTAGGTATGTAAATACAAACATTCTCTTGTTTTATATCAAAATATTAAAATCAAGCGTAGGGAACCTAGAGCTTCAGTTAGGGATCAGTAGACCAATTAGTTAAAGTTTCCTCCAAGCCAACAGTTCATCAACTACCAGTAACTAAAAGATTCCATCTCTTTCAAGTTATCTCTCACATAGAATAAATCAGAAAAAAATAGAACAAAATATGAAGCTATAACAATAAAAATAGCAAAAAAAAAAAAAGGTTCAGAAAATATGTTTTAATTTTAGATGCCACCGCCATACCAAACTCAGACCACCCGAAACTTGCTATTTACAAATCAACCAGCCACTTTCTCCATTTTTCAAATTCTCACTCAAATATCGAAATTCATGGCAAAATCCCAACCCATTTTAGGCCGGATTTAGGCAAGATTTAGCTTAAATCTCGCCAATCAGAATTTTGGGAACTTTAAACGTTCACATGATCTAACAAATTTAACGATTTCGCTCTCAGAATTCTTAAATCCTTAAACAAATAGCCAAACAGCTTTCAGATTTCAATCCCCTAAAGCTTTACTAAATTCTATTTGTTTTTTTCTTTTTCTCTTAAATTTTTTTAGAAGTTAAGTTTGAGTTAAATCCTGCTTGCAAACCAAAATAACAACTCAATGAACAATAAGAAAGACAATTTGTTTGAATAAAAAAAAAATTCAAACACATTGTTAGCTTATTTAAAATTAAAAATAAATCCAACATGAATTCGTAGTTTAGATCTTCAGCTAGAAACTAGTAAGCAAAACCAATTCAAATTTCTCAACCAACGAACCCTACTCTTCATTAATCAATTCCATAAACAAAATCCATCTCTCTCTCGCCCTCTCTCGACCCATCGTATGCATCTGAAACTACAGACAAAACCAAAACTAAAACCAGAAAAAATAAAGCAAGATAAGCCAGCTCAACTAACCCAAAAAATCGATGCCATTATAGCCATTGCTGAACCTCCCTGTAGGTCTCTTCCCCGGAAAATCGACGCCATTGTGAGGGAAATTGGCCTTAGCAGTGCTCCCCGGCAAGTAATTATTGTTTCCGACGTCGGCGGTCGAATCACCGAAGACATAGATCGCCGGAACCCTATCAGCTCCGGCAGCCACCTCCCAAAAGAGAAAAGTGGAGAGGAAGAGCAGAGAGGATACTGAAGTAAGATTCGTTACGAGGAAATCCATAGTGCGATGTCCTGCTCACCAGCAAGCTTTGCTGCTGCTAAAAGCAGAGTTCCACCTTGGTCAGGACGATGAGATCACTTACGGTAGCAGCTAAATAAAATAAAAATAAATAATCCTATCTATTTATTTGAACGGGAATTTACATTTTATTTCTCACATTAAATTAAATTAGCCTTTAGATTGTAATCCTTATCTTTTTATTGGCTCTGTGGGTGTAAGTAGGTCAAGCCGACTCGTGAGTCAGCTCGATAAGTTGCTCTTCAACTGAGCTCGATGTGCTAACATGCTAAGCTCAAGCTAGTCCCGACTCGACTTATCAACTCGCTAGTTGACTCGTTTAAAATAATATTAGTATTGTTGAGAAAATTAGGGCGAGGAAAAACTAGAACGACACAAATCCAGAAGAACATAGAGATTTAACGAGGTTCGGCAAAGATGCATACGTCCTCGGGAGTAGAGGGCGAGTTCCTTTCACTTTCAATATTCAGAAAAGATATTACAGAATAGAGGGATATCTCCTGGGGTTACTAACAGACTTATTTATAACCTCAGGAATAAACCCTATGCACAATATGTAATTACAGCATTACCCCTGTACTATACCGCGAGGCTTTGCCTCCGTAACCCAACCCACGTAACTTCCCAATTTGCACAGATTCTTCCGCTCCGCTTCGATCCAGCGCGTCTGTCCCTATATGGTATATGAGTCATACCATAACAAATATAAAATACACTGCAAATATATTCAATTTGAAGACTTTTTTTTTTTTTTTTTTTAAAGTTCTAAAAAAATTTAAAAATAACTTTTCTATTTTTTATTAAGTTATTTCATGTGTTTATCTCTCAATTTCTCATTTTATTATAATACTAACTTACATTAATATTATATTTTTTTCTTTTACAATAAACAAGTTTGCTAGTGAGCTCGAGTTTAAACTCGAACTCATAGACTTAAGCTCAAACTTGAACTTGAATTCGATAAAATTAATCAAGCTCAAGTTTAAGTCAAGGGTGACCCGAGCTCGACTCAACTCATTTACAGCCATATTGACTCTCTTTTGATTATTTTATTTAAAATGGTCTTCTAAAAACTATGTATATATAACTATACATATCACTCAATTTTTATGTATTTATATATCTAATGCCTAAACTTTTAGTTTTAATTATACATGAATTTATTAGTCATGAAAATATGTAAATCACTTTTTATAAATTAAAATAGTGATATTTTTATGTGACATGAGGTATTTGGACTATATAAATATAAAAGTAAAATTTAAGGGTTAGATATGTCAATATATAAGAACTAAGAGGTATGTATGTAAATGCCACAATTTTATAATAAAGTCAAATGAGCAATGTTTTTCCTTCACTAAAGCTCCTAAATCTTGGATCTTAGAGCTCCTGCAATCCAAGTAATCGAACTTACAATATTAGGTGTTGAATTTATAAATAAAAGAAATATTTGTGGTAAGTAAATACAAAAAAATAAAATTTAATAAGATACTCCAAGATTAAAATTATGTATGTATCATAATATATAAATAAATAATTTTTTTAATAAAATCAGTTTTGTATTTTATTTTTATTATTGTTTTTGTATTTAAAACAAATATTTTTAGTACATATATGTTTTTCTTTTAAATTTTATATGTATGATAAGTCAATAATATATAAATAAATGATTTTCAATAATAATGTTAATCCACCGACCAAATTTTTTAAAAAGACTACTTGAAGAATATGGCAAAGTTTTGAGCTCTTAAGTGTTTAATTATGTACAATTATCAGATAATATATGTTGCCTGGGTTAGGGATTATTACAAAATTTATATATGTTGGCCCATAAATAAAAAAATTATACATTATGTTATCTTAATTTTATTAAGCTTAAAATTATAATTAAATAAAGATTAATTATTTGACTTATGTGGCGTCTTAATATATACGCGCAACTCAAGTATAAATAGGGCATCTGCTTGTCAGTTGTGAGTCCCCTGTAGTCTGTGGTTCGATTCCCCTCGTGTGTAGAATGTGGTACTTGAATTATAGGCGCGTGAGAAATGGTCGGGGCTCGTATCATAGCCTCCGACCATTTCCTTTTAAAAAAAAAAGTATAAATAGGGTCATGGTCCACGGTCTATAAGAGGTTTGTTCCCCTTTCACTCACATATCATCTTAAATGAAAATAAACGTCTTTCTTTTTCTCGTGAACGCCACTTTAGATTTTGAAGATTAATAACCCCGTATTTGCAATTCAATGGATGGATTCAAATACGTTTTCGATTAGAATTTTTCGATGATTTCACATAAATCCGACCCTCATGAATTCTCAGAATTCTCATCAAGGTTATTATTTCCATCAATCACTTCACCCATGCATGCATATTTTGATTCAACCACATCATTTGCATCATACACACCGACCCAAAACACAGTCAAATTCATATATTTATAAAGTATTCATGTAAATCATAATATTTACTTTTCAATTCATATACTTAAATTTTCACCACATTTCTTTTACACTTTTCAGCAAATTAAATAGCCCTTCAAAAAAAAAAATTCAGCAAAGGCATGACACTCTAGGATCACAGATCACACCAAATTGACCTTAATCAAACGGTCAGAATTTGATTGTTTTCAGGCCGCTCCAATACCAAATGAAAATGCTTCATCCAGTGATTCATATACTATCACAACAAACAACTGTATCAAAATTACATACATTGTTTCATTACTTGGTATGTATGAGAAAAACAAATAGACTGATTACAACAAAGCAGTTTCGATTTACCCTTTTAGAATTTATAGGGGAGGCTGGGATCAGTGGTAGTATAAGCTGCGGTGAACATCCAGTACAGTTTTATCTTGACTGGATTTCGTTTTAAAAATAGCCGATTCAGGACTTGTCCCCAGATTTGGACTCTTTCTCCACTCTGCGTTTGATGTCGCGTTTCAGCAGCTCCATGAATTCCTGTAACGTGATTTATGTCATGTTTTTTGTATTAAGAAGATGTATTTTACATGTTTGGGTGGAATAGAGATGCTGAATTTAGCATCATCGAAGGCATTTCTCCGCAATTTTTTTTAGAGATATTTACATACATAGCACACAATTCTGATGTATTTAGATATCTCAGACCGGGCGTTTCATATCTATACACATAGCACTCAAATAATTAATATCTATTAGATTTATAACAACAATCAAATTTCTGCTTATTATTTCTTGCCTATTGGCTTTAAATTCACTCGTTATGTTTTTTTTTCTTTTAATTTGATTCTGTTTTATTTCTTTACTTTGTTGTTCCTATTGTAATTGGGTTTACATACCCCTTATTCTGCACTATTCCAACTCTCAACAAGGTATCAGAGTCAAACCCTAGATCTAGCAGCCACCGGCCTCCTCTGCTAGCCGCCGGCTTCCTCTACTGGTTCGGCTTCCAGTTAGATTCAACCGTAGGTTCCAAAACTGCAAGCTTTATGTTCCAAAATCTAATTTTATTCAGGCTCCCGTTCAAAAACTGCAGGCTCCTAGCCTCCTGTTCCAAAACTGCCGCAACCTCCTAGAGCCTCCTATTCCAAAACCGCAGCCTATTTTCTCCAGCAGCCACAGTTCTTCCTGTTGCCTGATCCAGCTGCAAGTCCTGCAACCTCTTCTGCCGTAACCCTACCAGAATTGTTCGATGGCTCAGAACCTCAACAACATCTTCTTTGGCTCAGACGGAATTACACGGTTTCCTCCACTAACCGTCAGAAGGTGTTCTTGATTCCATCGGAAGTTCTACTTATATTTCTGCTCCCTTGTAGACAGCAACATTGAAAACCAGCATGAATTTTTTAATCACAACACATAAATTGAATGACCGTAACTTTCTCCAATGGTCCTAAGCTGTGTTTTTATTCATCAAAAGACGTGAGAAGTTTGGTCACCTCACAGGTATGGTTCGTGAGCCTCAAAAGATTGACCCAGACTATGAGCTTGAGAAGTGGAGAACTTCATGGTCATGTCGTGGCTGATCAACTCCATGGAGACTTCGATTGGTCGATCATACATGTTCCTCCGTTCTCCTAGTGAACTCTAGATGATTGTCCATGATACCTACTTTGAAGTAAGAAATTCCAACAAACTTTATAAGATATTTAAGAAAATTCAGGAGACAAAACAGAGGTCAAGGACCGTGACCTAATACTATAATGACCTTGTTGCACTATGGATGAAATGCGACCTGCACTATATACTTAGGATTCTTCAGCCAATCTATCCCTCTTCCAAAAGATTACGAAAAAGGATCATATGTTCCAATTTTTTACTGGTCTTAACAAAGAACTTGACAAAGTATGAGGCCACATTCTTGAGCGGGACCCTCTTCCTTCCACTTGCGAAGCCTTCACCGAGATTCTTTGGGAAGAAAGCAGGAGATTTTCATGCTCGACACTTCTACTCCTTCAGCTGAATCATCCATCATGATCTCAAAAAGTGCTCAGTCCTCGTCTATGTCATGTTGAACTATTCTCCTCACTTGCGTTGGTTGTCACAAACCTAGCCATACTTGGGACAAGTGTTGGAAACTTCATAGCAAGTCAACATACAAATCTTCGGCCAAATCCCCTGCTACCAAAGGTCTCACGGTGACATCTGAGCCTACCACAACTCAGGCAACTCCTACCCTGAACATCTTGGAATCTTCTGAATCACTGAAAAAACTAGATTAAGCAATTGATCAAACTTTTTAGGGCCAAATAAGTCTCTACGGTTCAATCAACCTTACACGTTCGACAAAGTACTCTTCCTATGACCCTCACAGTTTATTCATCCTCTAGTTCGTGGATTATTGATTCAGAAGCCACAAATCACATGACAGGATGTTCACAAGCTTTCTCGACTTACTATCCTGGCTCTGGAAAAAAACACAGCCTGAATTGCGAACGGTTCTTGTAGTTCCATTGTTGGTAAATGGTCGATTGTGCTGACAACCGATCCAACTCTAAAGTTTGTTTTACATGTTCCTCAGTTGCAATATAACTTGTTATCTGTTAGCAAGTTGAGAAATGATGTTGATTGCGTTGCTAACTTCTTTTCTGATAATTGTGTTTTTCAGGATCGTTGTCTGGGAAGGATGATTGGAACTGCTAAGATGGTAGTTGGACTCTATTACTTTTAAGTGCAAAGCATGAAAAATACAGACATACGCTTCAAAAGTTATAGCTTATCTCGAGTCCTTGAATGTCTCATTATACTATTGCATTGTCGTTTAGGTCATCCTAGTTTTCAATATTTAAAAAAAATGTATCATTTGATGTTCACATAAAAACCCTTCTAATTTCAATTGTGAGACATGTCACTTAGCCAAACATCATCGAGTTCATTACCCATCCCACATTTACACTCCTTTCGCTTCTCCCAACTATACCAATAAAAGGTGGTTCCTAAATTGGAGTGTTGATGTCTCCTTCTTTTAAAGTATTCCATCATTTCCTAGCTCGGCCTCAAGTTAGGGGGAGCTTAGGTTTTTAGATACTATCCTTATTATCTCCTATGGATATTCCCCTCATTGTTCTTGTTACAGAAGAGTTCCCTATCTCGGTAAATGCACCATCCGGTCAGTGCACCATCTCCTCCTCCCACTATACGTGTCTACACTCGACGCACCCATTCCAATGCTCCTACTATGGAACTCGCTACCTTCTTACATGACCTTGACTCCATTCTGGGCGAGACACCCTCAGCGCAACACCTCCTCAAAATGAAGAGGTTAGTTCTCCAAGTAAGGTATGCAATCAAACATGTTCCCTCTATTCTTTAACAAAATATATTACTTTCCGCAGTTTATCACCGATCTACAGAGCATTTCCACCACACTGGCGGACCATCAGCTCCCTACTATTGAGGTTGCTCTTGTTGATCCAGCCTGGAAAACAACAATAATTGGGGAGATGAATTCCCTTCAACGGAATCATACATGAGACGTCGATGATCTTCCTCAGGATGAGAAAGTTGTGGGGTGTCGATGCATTTTTAGCACCAAGTTCAACTCAGATCATTTGAGCGCAACAAAGCACGATTGGTTGTCAAAGAGTACTTGCAAACCTACGAAGTTAACTATGAGAAGTCATTTGCTCCAGGGGCTAAGTTAAACATTATTCGTGTTTTATTATCCCTTGTAATGAATCTGGATCGGCTTTTATTTCAACTAGATGTCAAAGATGTGCTCTTGAATGGAGAGCTTACAGAAGAGGCATACATGTCTCTTCCTCTTGACTTTAACTCTGTTGCATCCAAATGGCAAGTCTGCGGGCTGTGAAAGTCTACCTATGGACTAAGGTAGTCCTTTAGGGCTTGGTTCGGCAAGTTCACAAAGGTGATCATGGGCCATGATTTTACTCAAGCTTAATCGGATCACACTCTCTTCTTCCAGCATTCCTCTAATGGCCAAATAGCTATTATTATTATCTATATTGATGATATTGTTCTTATGGGTAGTGATCTCCTAGCACTAGAGTCACTGAAAGACATTCTTGCTAAATCCTTTGAAATGAAGGATTTGAGATCTCTCCGATATTTCTTATGCATGAAAGTGACTCTATCTTGGGGTATTTGACTATCTCAGCACAAATATGTGATTGATCACTTGAAAGAAAACAATCTTCTTCTGTGCAAATTAGTAATTGTCCCTATGGATCCCAATGAAAAATTATTATTTTCAATGTTGTGTCTGTCAACAAAACTCACTACCAGCGTCTTGTGGGAAAACTCATCTACCTCACCCATACTCGTTTCGACATATGTCACATAATTGGTATAGTGAGTCAATTCATGCATGACTCTTATGTGTATCATCTCCAAGTTGTCTACCAGATTCTCCACTATTTAAAAGATAATTTGGGCTCAAGTTTGATTTTCTCTTGTCATACATCTCGGTCTATAACTGTTTATACAGATGTTAAATGGGTCAAGTCGGTTCATAACCGACGTTCCACCTCAAAGTATTGCTCATTTGTATGGGAAATTTGGTTACATGAAAAGGCAAAAACAGTCTGTGGTAGCTCGGAGCAGTGTTGAAGTTGAACCTTGGTCCATGGCCTTGGGGATCTGTGAAGTCCTCTGGTTACGCATCATGCTCCGTGAACCTCGTATGCCAACCTCTGTCCCGCTACAACTATTCTATGATAATATGGTTGTAATCAACATTGCTCACAATCCAGTCCAGCGTGACAACATCAAACATGTGTAGATTGACATACGCTTCATTAAGGTAAAAATTGAGTCTGGGAAAATTTGTGTGCCTTCTGTACTCCCAAGTGGTCAACTAGTGGATATCCTCAGCAAAAATCTTTCTCGACCTTCGTTCGATGACTTCAAATCCAAGTTAAATATGATTGACATTTATGTTTCAACTTGAGGGGGAGTATTAGATTTATAACAACAATCAAATTCTTAGTCATTATTACCTATTATTTCTTATTTATTAGCTTTAAATTCCCTAATTACGTATTTCTTTTTTTGCTTTATCCTGCTTTATTTTTTTCCTATTTGTTTTATTCGATTTTATTTATTTCCTTTGTGTCTATTGGGTTTAAATACCCCTTCTTTTATCAATAAATATGTGCTGCTCTATTCTAACTCTCAAATATATCACATAAGAAATTCCATTATTATCATTTTTCAAAAGTGAAATACACATTTTCATGCATATTGGCTTAAAGGCAGACATAAGGCAGACATGAAAATACATAAGAATTGTGTGCTATGTAAATTTCACTTCTTTCATCTTAATAAATCAGAACAGAAAAACAAGAAAAAAGCCCATAAACGATAAAGAGATAACTGAAAACATTTTATATTTCACAAGAGAGACGGGAAGAAAGTTGATGGAACAAAGAAATGAGAAGCTGCATCAACTAATAAATGCATATTGATTCATTTGGATCAGGAAGTAAATGTATGCGGTTAGCTCAAAAGAACTAAAGAAAATTAATCCAAGACTTCGTTTGGTTAAGCTCTTCTTTTTGTAAAAACTTGTCAAAAATCTATTTTTTAAAAAAGGCTGCTTTTTAAAAGTTAAATAAGAATAGTATGAAGAGGGAGTTTTTTTAGTAAGTGCTTTTAAAAAAGCATAACAATCAAACAGGTTACTAAATAACTATGGGAAATTTACGTAACTTTACATGTCTAACACTTAACATTTAATATTTATATTTATAACAACTTGGTGTCATAAATCCATGTATAAAAAGGTGCATATGACTTCTAAATTGTTAGTAAGTTTTTTATTTGATGTCATGTTAGCATTTGAGTGTTATGAATATAAATATTAAATTTAGGCGTTAAATATGTAAATATACAAGAATTTTGTGGTATGTATGTAAAAACCCCAATAAATAAAGGACTTTTTTTTCTGAAACGAAATCCAGTTTGGAAGCTTCCTCAATCGAGGTCGAAAGCAATGCTAATCCATTTAAAACAACTCTCTTATAAAAAATGTGGTAAAATTTCAATTTAGAAAATACATACATTGACCAGTTCCTCGTCATTCCCCAGTTCAGTAATATCTTGATAAGTATCATCTTCTCCATGTAGGCGAGCAGCAATTTCAAGCAATGCTCCAAAGACACTTTTAGGGTCACCATTTTGCTCAATTTTTTCAAGAACTTGACTGAAATCAACCTGAAAATTGAACCAAACATAGTTAAATCTAGCTACGAATTAGCAACAGATATAAAAAATCAAAGCAAATTGCAGTCTAAAACTACTAGATGAAAACAAACGTGATGTGCCAGAGAAGAAATATGAAGGAAAATATTATTAAAAAAAAAAAGAAAATATAATCATAGTATATAGAAAGTATGAAATTTACGCTTAACATGAAATACTCGAGGGAAAACCACGTCCACAATGGGAACCATCATTAAAACGGTTACTATAATAAAGATAAGGAAAAAGTTGAATGGTCCCATGACCTTTCTTAGCAGGGAGCATTTTAATCCTAAAATTTATAAAACTATCAAATTACTCCTCAAATTCTTTTAATATGGGCTAAAATAATTGTTAACTCTCTTAAAAGGGAGGAATATTTCAACATTTGCTCGGGAACAAATTTAATATTTTTATAAATTCTGGGACAAAAATGACTCCCTATGAGTAACTAGGGGACCATCTTGACAGTTTTCTCAATAAAAAACTATGATTGGTTCAAATAATCTCCTCGAAAATAGAAAGAGGACTTTCCCTATAGGCCTTTTTCACTTAATAAAAGTGTTTAGCTGTTCAAGTGTGGAATCTCAATTCCAGGAGTAGTAAGTTTGCTTGTTTGTTTCGTAGAAGCACATTAAACTCAATTCCCGCATTTGTTTGGGCTGCAATGAGTAAATCAATCACCCTATTAGCGTATTTTTATTCTATCCAATTTACATATAAAACAATAAAACAAAATGCAACTTCTATGTTCTCAAGGTTGAAACTCATTTCTCACTATTCAAAGTCGAATTTCATGAAAGAGAATCAAATTCTACTAATGTCATCCAAACAAAGTCTCGAAATCACTTCTAGAAATGAGATCTATTGAAATTTATAGGAAGTTATATTTTCATTAACCACTTTTGAAATTTGTTATGATTTTCTTAATATGGTAGCCTTACCCACCTAATTATCTTGCAAATATTTCCTGTGAAATCGAATAAGAATTACTATTTTTGCTCCCCCGAAACCTACATGGAATCATAAAGGGAAATAGCCATCGAAATCACGACCGAACGCTCAATTGAATTTCGTAGACTTGGCTGTCGGTCGTTTTATTGTTCAACTTCACTTTCGTAGTTTGGAAACGGTGATGATTTTGTGATTTTGAAAATAATTTAAATATAATTTTTTTAAAGAAGTAACGTTTTTTAATTTTTAAAATAAGTGAGACCAAACGAGTCTCACATTTTTAATAGTTTAGATGATTTAATACAATACTACAAGCAATACATTTATCCCGAAGAATAAATATATTACTTGTAATAGGGATTTAATCATCTAGACTAAACAATTTGTGACATCCGTTTTGATCTGCGAAATATTTTATAAAAAGGCCAACAAGTTCCCCTATCTAACATAAAAATTAGATAGGGTTTATTTTATCTGGGTTCCTGGTTCCCTATAGAGGCAAGGCCCTATAGTTAATTACATCTTAAATGATCGAAATCACTTAAGAAAACTCTCGATTAAGATCAGGTGGTTTTGCTTTCAAGAATTCAAAGTTTAGGTTTTCACGATTGGACATAGGAAAATCAAATGGAAATGGCTCAAAATAAGAACAATTACTTAAGAAATCCAAAGGGAAGAAAAGTAGGGGACATCACAGATCCAGGAGAAACCCCGGAGATGTCCCAACTATTCTATTGTTTGGTTTTATGTCTTTGAAGTGATGATTATTTGATATTTCAATCCTGCAAATTATTTAAGACTTAGGACTTATGTTTGCACACCGTCAGACTGTGCAAATAGCCTAAAAGACAGGAGGATTTACACCGCACCGTACAGTAACCTCGGAATCCTAAAACGTTAGGACTTATAATTGTACAACAGAGTTGTACAAAAAGCCTAAAGAGTGATCATATGGGTTGTTTAAACTAAAGAAAGTGTTAGGTGATGTGAATGTGTTTTGCTGCTGCAGATTCATCTTGAAGTTATCCCTTGCCG